AGTAATCAAAGTTTAATATGCAAAACACAACAATATTAAAAGGAAAATTCAAGCAAAAAGGTAAAATTTATTAAGAATGTAAAAAGAAAAAAATCTGTCCCTTGAGTAGGCAAAAACTCTCCAATAGAGAAAAATTCCTCCTCAACCCCTCCCTAGGAGGCGATCATTATCCCTGTAAAAGATTACAAAGCTTCATCATTATCTTCATCAGCATCTTGGCGGAGTTTAATATAAGTTACAGCTGAATACTGGATTAGAGTGGATACTATCATTCTCTGAATCATTGACTGGAGACATGGTATTAAGCAACAAATAAAAAGGCAAAATATGAAAAATAATCCTACAAGTGGTAAAGCTATCTTCATCAGCACCTGCCACCATGATCCCATGGTGAACCAACTTGTCCATGGTGCTGGACTTGCACCAGAGGTGTGATGGTCAACATACCTCATTAAATCTTCAACTCATCCAGAGCGGTCTGTATGAGTACAAATATAACAGTCCATTTTATTCAAACCTTCAGCAACGTGCTTGGAATGTTGCCACCTCATATTGGCACCACAGGAATGACTTGCTGTGGATCCATCAAAAACCATTCTGGTTTTTCCTTTGTTTCTGGCAGTCAGCTTGAGTCCCTAGGAACACCAGTCCAACGGTCATCACCAGGCAGCAAAACCACTTTGGTTTTTCCCATCTTCACCAGCCCCTCCAAGGAAACACCCACTAACCGGACTCTAAAAGACTGGGTTAGATTGGTTTCTTCACCAGCCTTGAGACGAGTGGTCCTAAAAAACCAAACCCCTTTGAAGCTGGACTTCACCACAGATTTCTAGATTCTTCCATCTCTAAATTTCTTTGGAAGGACAAACCCCCTCATATCAGCTTAAAGACATTACAAAAAACTAAAGACAGAGGGGGACTAGATTTACCTAACTTCCAAAACTACTACTTAGCAAATAGACAATAAACAATACATCTCTAAATGGATAAAACATAATGCCTTAGATGGATAAAACATAATGCCTTAGATGAGCCCCGGATAGACACAGAACAGGAAATATGCAGTAATATAATAATTTCAGATTTGCCGTTTATTAGCTCTAAGATCAAACGGCACTCATGTTTTAAAAATATTAACATCAGCTCTTCCCTGACAGCATGGTGGGAATTTCTAAAAATAACGAAGTCATCACTTATCCCGTGCAGTCGTACTCACATTCTACAAAACAATAATGTGATAAACTTTCCGTACTGGAAGAATAAAGGTATTACATATCTGGATAATTTATTTGAAGGTATGGAGTTTATCACATTTGCTAGAATAAATTTGCAATATGGCATTAACAAAAATAAATTCTTAGAATATGAGCAAATTAAAGCTATAATTAGAAATTAATTTAAGCATATTGATGGAGGTTTAAAAATTCCAACTAAAATATCAGAGTTTCTAGAGATAACCCCCTCCAAACTACTGTCTAAATTATACAGGACACTGACTAAACTGGATGATACAATATCTCTTCCTATTACTAAATGGGAGGAGGATTTATCAGTCAGCTTTGAACAAAACATCTGGGCTCAGATATGTCTAAGAACTTTTAACATGACTAGAAACCCCAATTTACAATTAATACAACACAAAATCCTCCACAGAGTGCACTATACAGGTCAAAGATTATTCAAGATGGGTTTTGCACAATCTAACATCTGTCCACAGTGCACAGGCAATCAATTTGATAATTATTTTCACGCGTTATGGTTATGCACGTCGGTTCAGAGATTCTGGGTACAGGTATGTAAGGATCTATCACTGTGCCTGGGTTGTAAAATCCCACTTTCCCCTCCAGTTTGCTTGCTGGGTGACTTTGAGGGAAGCTCTATGGAAAAAAAATCAGTTTGCATGGCCTTCACTGCATTATGTATCGCAAAGAAAACTATCCTGGGCGCCGGGCATCGGTTCTTTTGTGGTGCTGGCCGGAGTGCTTCTGTTCTGCAGGGTGTGCCTCGTCTTTCGGTGCTGGGTTTCGGTGGTTGGCCGTGGCGCTTGGCATGGTTGCATTGTCTGGAGGGGTGCATGGGTGGTCGTGCCTGTGGCCTGGGTTCATGTGTGTCTGTTGAAGGGCTGTCTTCAACAAGGGGGAATTTTTTTTGTGTGTGTGGGAGGGGGGGTGTGAGCGGGGGAATCAGAGCTTGGAATGGGACTTGGGATTTGTGCTTTGCTGTGTTGTGTGGCCTTCTTCTTCTTCGGATTGGTGTTGTAGGACCGGTGTCAGGGGGGTCAATCGGGGGCCGGTGTCAGGGTGGGGGGTGTTGGTGCCGGCGCCGGGGGTTTTTGGGCATTGCCCGGCCCTACTGCTGGGTGGGTCCGGGGTGGGTCTGGGATCCCTGGGGCACGTTGCCCTCGGGCGGGGGCCCCGGTTGGGTTTCGGGGGTTCGGGTTCTGCTTGGGGTCTGGGCCGGTGTACGCCCGGCTGTCTGTCCCTGCTGCCGAGGCCTCTGGTGTGCCGGGGTGCCTCGGGGCCTGTTGGGCTGGGGGGGCATGGACATTATCACCTATGGCACATGCTTACACCTTCAGGGGTTTGCACTCTGTAAGTGGGGGAAGGGGAGGGAGGGGGAGTAGGAATTATCTTGGCCTGGATGTCTTTTGTCGCTTGTGTGGTGAGTAGTTTGAATGTTATTGTAGGGGAGGGATTAGATCTCCGGAGGGGGGGTGGGGGGTGGTGATAGAGGGAAGAGGATTTCAGAAGGGCTTCGGGTCTGCCTCCCTGTCTCGGTCCTGGTCCGTGCTGTCCCCTGGTGGGACTTCATCCGGGGTGGTGGCTCTGCGTGTTGTGCGTGGGCTGACCGGCCGGGGTTGTCCCCCCCATATTTATTTATTTATTTATGTATTTATTTACTTATTATCATTTTTTTCTTTCCTTTTTTTGTATTATTATTATCATAAATGTTTCATTTATTTATTTATTTATTCATTTATTTATTGATTTTTTTTGTGGATGGACAGGATGGGGGGAGGGTGGTGGTGTCGGTCCTGTGCCCGGCTGGCTGGTGGGTCCCTGTTGTCCTGACTCCCCCTTGCCGCAGCATGTCAGTTGTACCTCATCAATTTCTAGCCGCAGCATGCTGTGATAGGAGCTGCCGTTTGCGGATGTTAGAACACTGAGTTAGTAGTTGTTTCTTTGTCAATGATGACAATGGTTGTTGGAGCTGCCATAATTCCCATAGTCTCTGCATGTAACCTCTCTCACTGGGGACACTTGTATAGTAGCACTTCATCAGTATCAAGTTTTCTGCTCTAGTCCATCTATGTCTTGTTCCAGTAGCCAATTTGTCATCAAGTTGCCCTGGTTCCCTAGCAACCTTGTTAACCCGGGCGACGTTCCGAGCCGGTATGGCTCTTGTATTTGCGGTTTCACTCATGCCTGAGGTAGGCCACTAAGCACAAAGGACCTTGCCTAAGGGTCCACCTGGATGTCCATGCCAGGAATCGAACCCCGGTCACCTGTGTCATCAGTGTTACCTACCGAGCTATCCAGTTCCGCTATGTATGTATATATATATATATATATATATATATATATATATATAATTTATTTTTTTAATTTATTTTTTTTCGGTGGGGGGAGCGGTTGCGGGCGGGTCGGTGTCTGCTTGCCGTTTTTTTTTTTCTGGGGGGGATTGGCATGTCTGTTTTCTCGGGGGGGCGGCCCCGTTGGTTGGGGGTCCTGCTGGTGGTGCGCCGCTGGTGTGTGGGGGTCTAGGCGACTCCGGCAGGGGTGGTGTTGGGGGGCTGGTGTGGATGGGCTGGCTGCGCTGATTTGGTTTTTGGGTGGGTTTTCCCACTTGGAGGCATGGTGGAGCTGCTTTGTTCCCGCTGATCACGGCTGGTGTGGCTACAGGGCAGGTGGGGGGTGGAGTGGCTCCGGCCGGTGCGCGTCGGGGGGCTGGGGCGGCGGAGTTGCTTCGGCCGCGTGTCGGGGTCTGGTGCGGTTGGTGGAGGGGGTGTGGGTGGCGTACACGGCTGTGCTGCTCTGGCTTCATCCGTTGGGGGTGCGGCATGGTTCGCTACGCTCTGGCTTTGTGCTGCCCGCGGGCTGCTGGGGGGGGTTGTTGCGGCGGCTGCGGTCTGCTCTTCTTGCGGTTGGGCGCCGGGTGGCTTTTCTGCTCTTGGGTTAATTCTGTGCACGGTGTGTTGTGTTGCGCGCTGTTGGCATCTGTCTTGGTGGGGTGGGGCCGCTCTTTTGGCCTGGGGGGCGTTTTGCGGGGGTTCCGCGGCGCTCGTGGCGGGTTCGCGGTGGATGCGCGTGTGCCCCGCTGTGGGCATGGCCGCCTGTGTGTTTTGCGTGGGTGGTGTGGTCGCATTGTGTGGTGCGGCCAGTCGCCGGGGCTTGGTGCCGGGCGGCGGGGCGTGTTTCGGCGCTCTGTAGGGGCCGGGGTGTTTTGGTCGGTGCCGTGGGGGGGCCGGTGTTCGGTGCCCGGCCCTACTTCAGGGTGGCCGGCTGCCGGAGGAGCCCGCAGGCTCGTCTCCGCGGCTCCCCGGGGCACCGGCATGGCGGTGGCTGGGGCGCTTCTTCGGAGCTGTCTCTCCTCCTCCCTTGGTGGGGGTCTGATTTCCGGGGCTGGCCCCTCCTTGGTGCCTTCGCTCTTGGGGTCCCTTTGGGCACCTGGGGCTTTGGGTCTCCCGGCGCTGGACTCAGTGCTCTGGGGGGTGTGCCTCTCCAGCTCTCCACAACCACTATTGAGCATTTTTTCTACGGATAAACTTTATATGCACAAGTGCACCCTCACAAACAATTACAGGTGCTTGGCTC